GAAAGGAGAAAAGTGGACTAGGAGATTACGCCACTTCCGAACCACTATAAATTGCCTCTCTCATTTACATACCGCACTTACATTATTTGCTACATTTATCTATCTCATCCGACTAACCCGTTTACTATTCACAGTTAATCTTAATCATCCGGGTTTAGTGTGTTCTCACGTATGCATGTGACTCAAACTTCTCGAGCTTAAAAAAGTGATTTATTCTAAGCAAGTTTGACGTGTTGCATGTAACAGTCGTCACACGTTCGACGTGATACGATATTTATTTACAATCTTGAATATTGTTATTATATATTGAGTGAACCATCTCCTTTATATATTCAAGATATCTCTGTCACTTTACATATCATTTGTACCTAACTTACTTATACCTGCACACTTAATTTACTAGTTGGGTAACTCTTTACTATTATTCCGCTGTGCAGTACAAACTTGCTCTATTTACTTGTTACTTAGAGTTGAAGTTACCAAAGAGTTATTTAATTTGAAAAAGCTTGAAAGTCTATTCACCCCCCCCCCCTCTAGACTTTCACCACCCTATCGGACCAACAATTGGTATCAGAGGGTTGTCTATTTGAGTCAATTTTGACTGCTAGACAGATCTCGAAAATCAAGATGATGAAAAGAGATAATGCTCTTGCCCAAAATTTATTATTTTCCTAAAATTTGACGATTGGAAAATTCGCATGCAGGTACATTTATCCGCATTACATGATGAAATGTGGGAAGTGGTTACAAGTGGTCCTATTGAGATTTTGCAAGTCAACACTTCATCCGAACAAACAAGTGAGACTCCGCAATACATTCCAAAACCGAAAGTGGAATGGTCTCGTGAAGATAGAACAAGAAATAACTTGGACAAATATTGCCAAGGATATTTTGTTTAAATCTATCGATGACACGATATTTCCAAAAGTTCGAAAGTGTCAATCCGCGAAGGAAGTTTGGGAAACGCTCATTCAAATTGGTGAAGGAGACGAACAAGAAAAGGATAAAGCTCACTATAGCATTAAAGAAATTCGAGGATTTCAAAATGCTAAACGGCGAGAATATTACCGATATGGAAACGAGATTTTGCCAAAATCTTAGGAGAGATTAATGATCTTGGAAAAGATATTAATCAAAAAGAAATCTCACTCAAAATTCTACGTGGTCTACCATCTACATGGGACATGAAGGTCACAGCCATGAGAGATCATAGGGATCTAAAAACCCTATCAACCGATAAGCTCTTTAGTGATCTAAAGCTTATGAATTTGAGATGAAATCAAGATTAGAGGAAGATCATGAAGAAAAGAACAACGCGCTTATAGCCGAGCAACCATCAACCTCAAGGTCAGTACAAAATGTTGAATTATTGCCTAATGATCAATTTGCTCTCTTTGTCAAGAAATTCAGGAAATTCATGAAGAGAAGCAACTACAAGAAAAATCCACAAGGGAAATCATGGAATACAACGAAGAATTCGAAGAAAGAAATTATTGAGGAAGATTCAAATTTGTGTTACAACTGTAGAAAACCGGGACACTTTGCAGCAAGTTGTCCATATCCCAAGGTGAGTAAAAGTCAGTACACAAATGTTACTAACCCTCAACAGGAAGAATTCAAGCCCAAAGATAAAAGATTAAAAGAAAGAAGAAAAGCACTCATCAGTGACCCACTTGAAATAAGTGAGTCAGAAGAATCTTCAAGTGATGAAAGTGACACCTCAAAGGATGACAATGCAATGTTTTGCATGAGCATCTCCAACAACACACGACACGAGGACATGTGTCTTATGGCTAATGGACATGAAGAAAATGAGGTAACATCTAAATCTTATGACTCTGTTAATTCTTCATTTTCTAGAGAGTCCCTCTTTCACTTAATGGAAGAATGTCAAACCGTAATGGACACTCACTCTCAACTCAAAGAGCGCAATAATCATCTGATTCTTTGAAAAAGATCAATTAAATAAAAAATTGCAAAATGCTCTACTTGAAGTGAAAGACTTGAAAGATAAAATTATTTGTCTTCAAGAAGAGTGTAAATCAAGGGAAGTGAGAGAACACAACCTCAGAGAGGTTATAGAAACATTTACGCATTCATCCAAAATAATGGACAAAATGGTAAATATGCAAAAACCCTCAAGTGATAAAACCGGACTTGGTTATGATCCATCGTGTTCTCAAGCCTCCGAAAAATTGACCAATTCTACTACTACTTTAAGTAATAAAGTTCAAGTAGTAAAATTTGTAAAAGGTCAAGAAAGCACAGTGAGACAAGGAATTGGTTACCAAACTGATGTCAAAATTAACACTGTTGGACCAAAGCCTCAAAGAAACAATATTTCGTCCAAACAGTACTCTAAAAGACAAAAGTTTGTTCCTAAATGGAAATACACCAAATGAGTCTAGTGTACAAAGTCCTCATAGGAAAATGGGAAGAAATCCGAGGATTGGGGCAGGGAGATTCTATCCCTCTAAACAAGATTGGTTTGGAAATATTAAACCATGGACTAAGTCCAGATTTAATGCTTATTACAGGCCCAAACAATCTATATCCCACGTGTCAAGAAATCGAGTCAATTTTCAAAAACCGGCACAAAAAATGTTTTCAAAAATTAAATATGATTATAATGTGTTTAATGGTTACCAATCACCTAAACTTAGATCAGTGAGTACAAGGTGGATTTGGGTACCAAAAAATGACTAACACCAAGGACCCAAGTCAAGTTGGGTACCTAAAAATGTTTAATTCATTTGCAGGAAGTTTGGTACTTCGATAGTGGATGTTCTAGACACATGACTGGAAATAAATCAAGTCTTGTGAATCTTAAAAATATCGAAGGACCAAAAGTCGTATTCGGTGGAAATGAACGATACGGCATAACAAAAGGAATCGGTACAATATTTCGAAATGGTTTGAAAATCGAAGATGTATCCTTTGTTGAAGGTCTAAAATTCAACTTGTTAAGTACAAGTCAATTTTTGTGACAAAGGATATCTAGTAGAGTTCTTCAAAGAGAAGTGCCAAGTGAAAAATAATTCCACAGGAGAAGTTGTTCTCGAAGGAATAAGAAAGAAAAATATGTACGTTGTGGATTGGAACACAACAAAAGAATCAGTGTGTCTACTAGCAAACAACTCACACGCAACAAGTTGGGAATGGCACAAGAAGTTGAATCATCTAAACTTCAAGACTATCAACAAGCTAGCAAGAAACAAATTAGTTGAAGGTCTACCCGACATTGTGTACAAGAAAGATCAAATATGTGATTCTTGCCAAAGAGGAAAGCAAGTCAAGTCATCTTTCAAATCCAAAGCTCAAGAATCTACAACAAGACCGCTAAGTCTACTACACATGGATCTATTTGGTCCAGTAGACCCAGCAAGTCTAAGTGGTAAGAAATATACACTAGTTGTTGTTGATGACTTTTCCAGGTACACATGGACAATATTTCTCAAAAAGAAAAATGAAGTGGAGCAAAAGTTGCCAGAGTTACTGAAGCTACTACAAAATGAGAAAGACTTGAAAATTGCAAAAATCCGAACGGATCGTGGAACTGAGTTCGTGAATCAAGTGATTGAAAGCCTACTGCAATTCCCAAGGAATTCTACATCAATTATCTGTCGCACGTACAGCTCAACAAAACGGTGTAGCCGAAAGAAGAAATAGAACACTAAAAGAAGCCGCACGAGTGATGATTACGTCAGCCGAGCTACCTAAAAGATATTGGGCTGAAGCAATCAACACCGCTTGCTACACACAAAATCGGAGCTTGATACATAAGTCTTACAACAAGACTCCGTACGAATTATGGAAAGGGAGAATACCTAATGCTTTATTCTTAATAATGGAAAAACATATCTAAAGACTTTTGATGAGCGTGCAGATGAAGGAATATTTTTAGGATATTCATCTATCAGTAAAACATTCAGAGTATTGAACAAGAAATCAATGGTGGTAGAAGAATCAATTCATGTCACATTTGATGAAGCTCATATGAAGGAAACCCAAAGCAACAAAAATGATCAAGAGATTTGTCAAGTTGAAAAATCATTTAATGATGCTGACATATCTTTTAAAGATCAAATTGTACAGGGTATGGAGCAATTGGACATTGATTGCAATAGTGAAGGATACGTGGAAGCCAATGAAGATGCACACGTGGAAAATCAAAACTCTCAAGTCAATACACAAATTGGAGATCAATCTGATGAGCAAAATGTGTCTACCTCCAATTTACCTACTGAGCAAGGAAACGTGGAAAGCCCATGCAATCTACAACCTGACTTGAGATGGCTCAAAAATCACCCTCCAGAGCTAGTAATTGGAGATCCACGAGAAGGAGTAAAAACAAGGTCCTCAGTATAAATTCTTTATTCTCTTGAAGAAGCTTTAAGTGATCCAGATTGGATCAATGCAATGCAAAAAGAGCTTGAACAGTTTAAGAGAAATGACGTATGGGAATTAGTTCCAAGACCTGAAAATTACAATGTAATTGGAACAAAATGGGTCTTTCGAAATAAAGCTAATGAGGATGGAATCGTCATTCGAAATAAAGCATGTTTAGTGGCAAAAGGATATTCACAAGAAGAAGGCATAGATTTCGATGAAACATTTGCACCCGTTGCAAGACTAGAAGCCATCAGAATATTTCTAGCTTATGCCGCATACAAGAATTTCACTGTCTATCAAATGGACGTGAAAAATGCATTTTTAAACGGATTACTTGAAGAGGAAGTCTACGTCGAGCAACCTCCCGGTTTCGAGGTAAAAGGTGATGTTAATAAGGTCTACAAGTTAAAGAAGGCGTTATATGGGTTAAAACAAGCATCGAGAGCTTGGTATGACACCCTATCAATGTTCCTAATTAACTGTGGTTTCACAAAAGGCCTTGTTGATAAAACCTTATTTAGAATTCAAGAAAATGATCACATTTTATTGGTACAAATTTATGTTGATGATATTATCTTTGGAAGTACTAATAAAATTCTTTGTGAGAATTTTTCTAAGCTCATGCAGAATAAGTTTGAAATGAGCATGATGGGAGAATTGAATTACTTTCTTGGACTACAAGTAAAGCAACTCAGCGAAGGAATATTCATCAATCAGGCCAAGTACACAAAAGATCTGATAAAGAAATTTGGTCAAGATGGAAAACCCTCAATCAAGATCCCGATGAGCACATCTTTACGATTAGATAAAGATGATGAAGGCAAGGATGTTGACAAAATAAAATATCGAGGAATGATTGGATCATTACTATACCTCACTGCAAGTCGACCAGATATATCTTATTCAGTGGCAGTATGTGCTAGGTTCCAGTCAAAGCCAAAAGAGAGTCATCTTCTTGCTACCAGAAAATCATCCGATACTTAAAAGGAACAGTCAATGTGGGATTATGGTATCCCAAAGAAGGTAATTTTACACTAACTGGTTTCTCAGATGCAGGTTTTGCAGGATGTAAAATCGATCGCAAAAGTACCTCAGGAACGTGCCAGTTCTTAGGGGGAAGGTTGGTTTCATGGTTCAGCAAAAAGCAAAACTCCATAGCTACAAGTACAGCCGAAGCTGAATATATAGCTGCTGGAAGTTGTTGTGCGCAAATTCTTTAGATGAAACAACAGCTGAAAGATTATGGCGTGAATTGTGAAAATGTCAATATATTGTGTGACAATACAAGTGCTATTGCCATAACACACAATCCCGTGTTGCATTCAAGAACAAAACACATTGATGTGAGACATCATTTTATCCGGGATCATGTTGAAAAGAAGGAATTATCAATCGAATATATCCCGACCGAGAATCAATTAGCTGATATTCTCACAAAGCCTCTGTGTGAATCAAGATTTTCGAAATTGAGACACGAAATGGGCATGATTGAATTGAGCTAAGTTTCTAAACTCTATTCTATTTATAAGCTCAATTTTTCATCTGATATTTCGACACTTTATCTGATTTAAATTTTCGTGCCTATGTGTCACACATGCAAGGAATGTCACATCTTTTTAAAGTCCACCTATATCCATTAAATGGTGTTAAAGCACATAGTGCTTATATATCTTTCTAACCGTATATCTATATACATATGTACAAGTAGAAATCATTTAGATATGCCAAATCCTACCATTTAAGAGTGATAAGATGGTGTGATGATAGAATGTCTTAAATGAGAACACCTTTTTATGGTAGTTGTGCACAATAAATAGTCTAGAAAGAATAGATTTCTCTTTCTTCCATCTACATAAAAACGTGTAGATACATACATATTATTTTCGAACAGATTTAGTGCTGTTTGAATTTTATTTCAGGTAAAATCAGTCCGAGTATCTAAATTTTTGGCGCCACATCAGCAGACAAATTGGATGGAGAATATATAACCTAAACTATCAGTTAGGTCAAAGGTTGGAAGCTATTGGAATATCAAAAATACCCCTCACTTATTAAAAGTCAACATTTAATTGAGAGGATATTTGTGTAAAGACACCTCTTTTCTACCCAATCGGTTGGAGAAGCCACCATCACACTCAAATTTTCAAAAGCTTTTCATCTTCCATAGCCGAAATACAAACCTCTTCTTCCAAAAATTTCTCAATCCCTCAAATCTCCTAAAAATATCAATCGAATTATGGCCACCATTGGAGATACAAGCTCACAACCGAATGAAGAACACACCACACAACTCAACCTTGCAAAGCTAGCAGTGGGAATCAAGGCCGGAGGAAGTTTTGACCCTCAAGGATTCCTCAAAGAAGCCGAGAACTCTCCTCTTGCACAAAGAATCATCAATGCACTTCAACAAAGCAATCTAATGAGGTTATGTCCTTACTCATATTCTGGATTCTATGATGAAGATGTAGCAGAGTTTTATATGAATGCCAAGGTTGTTGGATGGACCATTGAGTCCACCGTGAATGGAACTCTCATCACCATTGATGAACACGAGTTACACACAACCTTTGGACTGCCCATATCTAGTCCAGAACAACCACTGTTGGACTTAGATGTTCACCTATATGATCATACGGAAATTTGGACAGAAATTCGGAATGAGAATGCCTCTCTCGAACCAAATCTTTCCGGTCAAAAATCTGAGTTGAAGTTGGAGTATGAAATGCTTGTTAAAATTCTCTACAAATGTGTGTTGTGCAAATTAAATAGCATGGAAGATATTTCACCCGTAAGAATTGGTTATGTACATGCTATCATGAATGTTGTTAGGGGTGATTGGAGTAAGCTTGTCTTGAGCCGAATTGCACACTTTGTGAAAGGTGCAAAAATAAGGAATGGGAAGTTCAACCGTATATTAGGGTTCGGTTTGCTCATTGGAGAGATTATCAAAAGAAAAGGGTTGACTATGAGGTCAAAGAAGCCTTTTGGAAGTAATAGAATCTTGTTTAAAGATCATGAAGTGATTAGTGATCTAAATTCCAAAAGAAAGAGGAAGCCGAGAGGTATCCCAACTAGAAAAAGACCAGTTGCAGAAATTCTTGGTCTACCCTCTCAATCCCATGAAAACCCTACATCAAGCCAAAATCCAAACACAAGCCATAACCCTACCTCAAGCCTTAACCCTACCACAAGCCAAAATCCTACCACATGTCTTAACCCAAATGCAAGCCAAAGTCTTTTAAATCCTTTTTCCCAAATTGCCGAATTGGAAACAATGTTGAATGAGGAGATTCTTCAAGTTGCAAGATTAGACTGTGTATTAGTGAATGAATACCGTAGAGTCCTAAGTTGGAGAAAATGGAGACTTGGTCCTTATGATGAGTTGATGACTAAGGGACCAAGTATGCATGAAGAAGAATTGTTTTCACTAAAATGGATTGGCAATTTTGATGTTTGCCATGCAACCTTGTTGTCTACGGTAAATGGAGCATTTGTGAACAAATTGAAAGCCAAATTGGCCGAAGCTACTGTTGACTGCACTGTTCAAGATGATTTGCCTACTGAAGACAATTTCTTAGTTGATATGGCCGAATTTGTGACAAGGGATGTTGAAGAAAATGTCACGTATGGTGTACACTTGATGGATAGTGGCTTATATGATGTGAGTGTGTTAAATCTCACTGAAATAAGTCAAGACCAAAATGCCATGCAAGCTAGTCAACATACGGAGGAAATTCAATCTATTAATGCAGAAAGTGAACATGGTGACACTCACGTGCTACACACTCCGGAAAGGGAAGGAAATATAGTGGAAAATCAAGCTCAATCTCACATGCTTGAAGCCGATTTTGCTCAAGAAGGAGCAAGGTGTTTTCCCTCATCCCGAGAAGAGCAAGAACTTGATAGCACACCTACAAATGAGAAATTAGAAAATCTGGAGAAAGTTGTCTTAAGCCTTGTTGACCGAATGGAGAACATGTTTCAAGGGATCTACACTCATGTGGATCAAGTTGTCAATATTCAAGGTGGAAAATTCGAAGCATCTTTTGATGAAAATCAGAGAAGTCAACAACATTTGATTGATACCCACCAAGCACTTGAAAGACAAGTTGGAAGTTTGAATAACAATGTCAAAGGGCAACTCAATGAGTTCTATATCCAACTTTCCCAAATCCTCAAGAATTCTGGAAAGGCAAATGAAGCAATTGCCGTGAACCAAAGTCAAGGTATTCTCAATGTTGTTCATCAACATGAAAAGCAGATTAATGATGTCCACACGGATCTCATCTCAGTTAACACCAAAGTGGGCTGTCTTCGGGGTTCTTATGAGAATATATCTGAATCCATTTCATCTCTTCGTGAATCGATTCATACACTTCTTGATTACGCCAAAAAGGGGGAAGAGAGATTCAGTCATTTGGAGAGCATGATTGAGATGATGATGACTACCATGGCTAGCAGAAATGTTGGCACAAGCAGTAGTAGAGGTGGAGGAGGCAGATCTGCTGGAAGAAATGCACCAAGAAAAGGAGGATTGGAGTATTGGTTCGGTGGTGGTGAAGCTGGCAGTCCAGGAGGATCAAGCAGTGCAAATACCACTAACCGTTCTTTTCGTGATATTGTTTGTGCAGGAGGAAACATTGAGCAAATAAATTGGTACAACCGTGCAGCTCTTTATTTGGAATCCACACCGAGAGACGGTAGAGTTGAAATGCCAAAGTTGGTGACTTTGAATGATCTACCAAAAGGAATGAAGAAAAGTGGTCCTAGTGATCAAAACATGTGGGTTTCAAGTGAAAATTTCAGAAGAATTCAAAGCTATGCTAGAGCCTTGATGATTATGGTTCTAAGGGACTACATCAAAGTCAATGATGCCGAGCTACAAGATGGAAAAAGTCTAGAAGAGTGCATCATATGGTATGAGGAAGGTATACTGCCCGGGAGCAACATCACTGAAGCTTTCAACTACTATTCAGTTGGGCAGGTATGCAACAACTTTGCCATTAGTGACAATTTCGTTGATGTTCAGAACCATATTAACAATGTGCTCAAGGAAAAGAGAAACAAAGTGATTAGATGATTTGTATGATTGGTACAATTTTTGTGGTCCACGGGTACATGAACCCATGAAACAATTTGGAATGATTTGAATTATCTGTTTATGATGCTATTAAGTTGTTTCTAAATTTTATTATTTGTCTTGAAAGGTAATATTTTTAGCTTAGAGTGTATCAAATCGCATGAATTGGAAAAATGCAAAAATTCATTATCATTAAAATTCCAAAAATGCGAAATAGGAATATAGTGGCTAAAAATACCTTTCCTAGAGTCAAAATCATTTGTTAAACTCATCTTGGCTATGTCTAAGTTAATAAAATCTTTTGAAAAATAATTGTTTTTAAAAGACAAGCCAAATGACTGAGTATAGGTTTTGGCGTCATCAAAAAGGGGGAAAATTGATAGGAATATTTTTGTAAGTTTTGATGAGCCAAATGTATCTTTAGATCCCCTTAGTTTTTAAGTCTATAGTACAAGCATCATAAATCAGAATATTGAAATCAGAAGGAATCTACCATAGGAAGAACAAAATTAATTTGAGAAATTAATTTTGGTCCTACGAGTATTCATCCGTGAAAGAAGCATAAAGTAATGGCGTTGCAAGGAATGACCGGATGAGCCTAACAGCGAAATGGTAGAGGTCTTTACTCTAAATGATCACACTCGAGATCGATTCCCCCCAAGGACCTATACTTTTAAGGCAGATTTTGAAGGAGCACGATGTGTTCAAAAGAGCACAATGTGTCCAAAGGAGCACGATGCTTACTAAAGAAGCACAATTTGACCAAATCTGCTAAGGAGCACGATGCTAACTAAAGAAGCACAATGAGGAGCACGATGCTAACTAAAGAAGCACAATGTGACCAAATCTGCTAAGGAGCACAATGTTGTCTAAGAAGCACAATGTTGTCAGAAGAGCACAATGTATCGAAAGAAGCACAATGTTCAAGTCAAAGGAGCACAATGTGGCAAAAGAGCAAGATGATCAGAAATTGGATAAATTCGAAGGAATTTACTCCAAGTCCACCCACATGCCACAAGACTCCAAAATTGCCTGAAAGACATTTGATCAGAACGGAAAAATATTTATGAAGGCATGAATATAAAAACTTATCCTAGAAATAAATTCTATCAGATGAATTTATTTCAAAGATTCGTTGGATATTCAAATTGACAATTAAAGTAATATTTTTAGAAACAACTAGAAAATCAAAGTTGTGCTAAAAATAATTACTTTGTCAGGCAAGTTGACAAATCAAATCAAAATTGAAGATCTACTACTGTCAACAATATCAGGCTATGAAGATTCAAAATTCAAATATCAAATTATCCCACTCCAACGGATATATTTGATTGACTATAAAAAGTCATGAAGACTTGAAGACAAAGTGTGTGGAGCAGAGATAAACAAGATAGACACAAGATAGAAGTGCAATACACATGAAAATTTAAAAGTGCAAGTGCTCAAATATTCAAAGAGACTTAGTCTGAATAGTCTCAAAATCTAGTTGGAGAGAGAAATACAAATCCTTGTATTTGTAAATTGTAGAAAGAGTATAGCTGTGTGCAAAATACTCTAGTGAGTGTAGCTGTGTGCAAAACACTCGTAGTTGCTAAGTGTAGCTGTGTGCAAGACACTTAGTTGGCGTTGAGTATAGCTGTGTGCGAAATACTCGGAGTTGAGTGTAGCTGTGTGCGAGACACTCGGAGTTGGGTGTAGCTGTGTGCAAGACATCCGGAAGAAGTGCTTGTGTAGCGCTTATTCACTATTGTAACTGTGTGTGAAAAAATAGTGAATTTCTCCTAGACGCGAAAGGAGAAAAGTGGACTAGGAAGATTACGCCACTTCCGAACCACTATAAATTGCCTCTCTCATTTACATACCGCACTTACATTATTTGCTACATTTATCTATCTCATCCGACTAACCCGTTTACTATTCACAGTTAATCTTAATCATCCGGGTTTAGTGTGTTCTCACGTATGCATGTGACTCAAACTTCTCGAGCTTAAAAAGTGATTTATTCTAAGCAAGTTTGACGTGTTGCATGTAACAGTCGTCACACGTTCGACGTGATACGATATTTATTTACAATCTTGAATATTGTTATTATATATTGAGTGAACCATCTCCTTTATATATTCAAGATATCTCTGTCACTTTACATATCATTTGTACCTAACTTACTTATACCTGCACACTTAATTTACTAGTTGGGCATAACTCTTTACTATTATTCCGCTGTGCAGTACAAACTTGCTCTATTTACTTGTTACTTAGAGTTGAAGTTACCAAAGAGTTATTTAATTTGAAAAAGCTTGAAAGTCTATTCACCCCCCCCCCCCCCTCTAGACTTTCACCACCCTATCGGGACCAACAGTCGGGTCGACGCAGGGTATTTACACGACACGGGGAAGGCCACTGTAGGGGCTGTTTTGTTCGATGTAAATGGAGGATATATTGCGGCCTTCAATGCACCGTTACCAACTTGTTTCTCACCTCTTATGGCCGAAGCTTTGTCATGCAAAGAGGCTTTATCATGGTTGAAGGAAAGAGGGGAGCAGAATATTGAGTTATACACAGATTGCTTGACATTGCAACGCTATCTTACAACACCAACCGCCGCGTTTCGCTCCTATGTGGGCTATGCTATTGACGGCTGCAGGCAAATTGCCACTTTATTTCAGTATTGTTCATTTAGATTTATTGCTAGATCAGATAATTATTTAGCTCATGCATTAGCTACTACGGCTTATCAGCAACTTGCTGGTATGTACTGGGATATCCACCCACCAGACATTATTTCAGCCTTTTTCTAATGAAGCACCCATATAATTTTCAAAAAAAAAGATTATTGAACAAGTTTAACTTTTTTTTTGTTATATATATACATTACCAAAAAATTAATTTTTTAAAATATTAAGTATAATCAAATATTCCTTATTTTATCTATTATTTTTCAGTAATTATTTAATAAATTTGGTAAGTAAATGATAAAAAAATATTGACACCTCTATTTTAAATAAACTCTGCATACAGTATTATTAAAAATACCAAACACAAAAATTTAGGATTTTTATCTCAAAATTTGTCAAAAATCAAATCTCCTCATCTCCCTCCAAATCCATAGCCTCCAATACCAAATTCCATTGCGTCCAAATCTCTGTGACCTCCCCACAATCGTCCATGTCTTCTCCGTACGCTGTCTCCCTGATGACATTAATCATTCGGGGCGAAGATCGCCGCTGAGCCATCGTCTCTGGTCCAAGACATCAAGCTCCACTCCATCGGCGTTCTCCATCTTCGTCACCACTCCCATCGACGTCTGCCACTGACGTCGCCACCGCCACTGTGGTTCTCAGCCACCGCCGTCAGCTTTCGCAATCGCTAATACGGAAAGTGTTTTTTTTTTTTTTTTTGTTAAAAATATTTGTTTTATTTATTATTGTGCTAAATACTCCGTATCATATGTGACTGATTCTCCTCTTTTCAGGTACATCTGCAACAGTCTCCGGCGTCAGGTACATCTGTTGCAGTCGGGAAATTTCAATGTTAATTCAGCTCTGCTCCATTCACGGTTGTGCAGGTGACTCGAAGGAAACCTTCCAATATTGGTGCCTTGGAACACAGTGACTTGAACTAGTGGCCTCCTCAAGGCAGTTTTTAAAACCATTGATACATTTTGAACCACACAGAAGTGCAGAATGATATCATATCATTTGCTTGTAAGGATTAGGGGCAAATGATATGATATCGTTCTGTATGTTGTTCAGTGTGCTTCTGAATGCATTTTAGATCCTAAAACATTTGAATCACTAGGGAATTTTGTATGGCTTTTTTTGGTTCATTTTACCGTGATGGGATCCTAGGCATTCTGCTATTATGGAAAACAACAATGGAAAATTACTATGAAAGAGTGTTGTAAGTATCATTTTCATCTTTGTCGTGAGGGAATTGTTAAAATAACCTATTTAATTGTTATTGGTTGTACATGTGATATAATTTTTAAAATTTTGAGTTTAAAATTTAATCTTCTTCATATACTTATATATTGTTTTTTTTTTCTTTTACTGTAGGAAAGAATTTGGAAGAAGAAGTTGCAAAATTTTAAAAATCGCACAAGTAGCTTTAGAGGAACAAGCTGCTAAAATCAAGCAAATTTTTGCTCACTTATCAAGCAATCAAGAGATTCCAAATGTACTAAGCAATGTTTCTCCATCAATTACCTCAAGTGAAGAATAATCAAGACATTTCATTTTAAAAAGTTTTTATTTGTATTCTATTGTATTTTTTACAACATATATTTGTTAGACAATGGTATCTTTTTATATATTTTTTAATTTGACGAGTAACATTTGTTAAATGAATTATTTTATTCCAGATAATAATTAAATTAAAATATTTAATTATGGCAAGATTTTGAAATAAATAATTATATATTGTGTGCATTTGGTTAGTATTATTTGAAAAAATAAAATTGTGACCAAATAATGGTCACATATAAAAACATCAAGATTGACAATAGTGACACAATTTCAACTTATTTTAGTGACACAAGTTGTGCCACTAATTTTAAGTATTTTAGTGACAAATATGTTGTTACTATTTTAAAAGCTATTATTGACGAAGATGATGGCTACAAGAAATTGAATTGTTTTTTTTTTTTTTTTTTTTGAATCCTGGAAAAGGGTGCTACCCAAAAAAAAAAACTAGCAGTTACTAGGACCTCGGGGGGATCGGTGCCAAAACGTTCCCGTTGGATGGTATCCTGTAGCGACTGGGGGGGGGGGGGGGGCTCCATCAGTAGTCGAACACCAATATGGTGTGATAAGGCCGTCGAGGCCAGTTTGTCCGCTACGCTGTTTTGCTCTCTGTAGGTATGTTCGTAGATCACATCTTCAAGTCTCTTTGCCTCACGTATGCACCTCCGAATAGTGTTGCTTTGGTAGCCGTCGTCTCTGCTCAGGTCAGTCACAGTGTTCCTCGCGTCGCTTTCCACAATCAGCTTCTTCACCCCAGCGTGTACTGCCAGTCGGATCCCTTGTAGCACCGCCCAAGCCTCAGCCTCTTCTGTCGAGCATCTTCCAATGTTGCATGTGAATCCCCTTTGCCACTGACCATTCTCATCTCGCATGATTCCTCCGCAGCCTGCCGTCCCATCCGCCTCTCTACATCCGTCCACGTTGACTTTCATCCGGCCTGTAGGTGGCCTCTCCCACGCTGCAGAGACTGGGCGTGCCTTGTTGGTCGTCCCAACTCTTCTATGTATCGCAAAAGCCGCCATAACCTCAGCATCATAGTTTAGGAGCCCCTCCTTCTTTTGCGCTAAAGGCTTGGAATCATGCTTGAGCACTTCGTCGTTCCTCCACCTCCAGAGCCACCAAAGCCTGATGCCAAAGCGTTCCGGTCATCCCTCATCGAAGCCCATTTTCTTCATGTCCCCTCGGAGGTTCGCGGATAACCAGTCTGTCCATCTTAAGTTGTGTAGCTTGGTAGATGTGCTCTGTGGTAGCTCTGTGTCCCATATCTCCTTCGTGTCAGTACACCATCTGAATAAATGGTACAAGTCCTCCATAATCCCTGCACAACGAAAACAAAAAAGATCAGTCGACAATCTTCGTCGTACCCGTTGAGCGTTCGTGAGAACCCTTCCGTGCTTCACCAGCCAACGAAAGAAGCAGACTTTCCCGGGGAGACGAAGTTTCCAAATTCGGGACCATTCATTATCTGGAGGCTTTGCCTCATTGTTGGCTATCATCTCGTATGCAGATCCTACCGTAAAACGGCCATTCGTGTCTGGACCCCAGCCCAGCTCGTCTTCCATATTGGCGTTTATTAGCATAAAGCTTGCTATCTGTTCCAAAGTTTCCTAAGGAACTGTGTTCTCGAGCTTATCCCATTTCCATCCTCGACGGCTATCCCAGTAGTCCCTCACGGGGGCATACAGGTCTGGGAGGCTCAAGGGGATGCGCAATTGGTCGTAATGGGGCTGTGACGTTAGCCAAGTGTCCATCCAGAAGCGTGTTGTTCTACCACTTCGAACCACTCGCGTCGTTCCTCTCTCCATGTAGGGTCTTGCTTCACTGATCCCTTTCCAAACATTAGACATCTTGCACCTTCTCGCACCAGATTCTAGGGTATCCCTACTGTTACTGTAACACCGCGAACTTTTGGAACTTTTTAAAACTTGTATAATAAAGATAAATCCTCATTAAATCCCGAATTATAACATAAGAGTATGGGCTGCTATGCCACACCTGAGCTAGAGAACCCAGGTGCACAGACTAACTATCTAAAATCCACAATAATGTCAATACATAAGTATGACACGCAGGCCGAAAGGGAAACTAACTACTCTACGCTCCAAATCTCTAGCGCGCTCCAGTGTTTACTCGTTTGTGCCTGAAAGCCAAATATATCTGTTTAGCGAGAGATGCTAGTAACCCACTCCAACGCGTTAGAATATATTATAGATAGATATATATAGATATACGAAAACCATTTTGAAGCAGGAAGATATATACTTAAGAGACACTAATTTTAAAAGCCGGAAATAGACTCAGCAAATAGGGACAAGCACATCAAACAATAATAAACAGTTAAGTAGAGCTAATATCATAAGGGATATGCATCTAAGGTCACAGATCATTCTCCAACTCCAACCACATCATTACCATTCATATCACATAATCGTTGATGGCGCCACGGGACCAATCGCATGCCCCGAACATGAGGGTTAATGCTTATAGCATTAACACGGCCCCGCAGCACCCTACCTCAGTACCGCGGTATGAGGGGAGTTGATCGCAACCAACCCTTTGAGAACCGCTGACGAACTCAACGTCGGATCACGATCCGACACACCACTGACGCACCCAGTCGGTGGACCGCGATCCCCTTTACAAGGGGGGACATACGACCCTACACACCGCCAATGGGTACATCCGGTGGACCATAGCGGATCAAGCCCGACACACCGCAGAGCTATACTCAGTCGGTGGCGAAGATCCTCGGAGACTATGGCCCTACACACCGCCGTCCCATCACCCGGTGGGTCGCAGCCAGCCGTAGCCCTACACACCGCCCGATTACTCGGATCGGTGGACTACAGCCTTCCTCGGCTTATTGGCCCTACACACCGTCCTGGCGCGTTCATGTCCGGTGGGTCATCGCACCGAGGCCCATGTGGACCGCAGCCCAAGAAGTAGAGCCGTCAAAACGGTCTCGCGGGGCGGGACGGGTCAAAACAAACCAAAGCCCGTCCTCGTAGCGGGACGGGCTAAAAAGCCCGCCTCTTAGCGGGCTTGGAATGTGGCCGGCCCGCCCCGCCATGCCAAAGCCCGCTGGCAGGGCAGGCTAGCCCGCCAATCAATTTTTTCACTGTGTTAATTTTTTTAAAAAAAAAAAATCACTCTACAATATCCTTTAAAAAAAAAATCACTGTACAGACGTACAGTACACTAACACAGTAACACTACCTAGTATTGTATTCCTATAAATCTATAATCCTATAAGTTATAACACAATTACACAAACCAAAATAACATGTATTAAATACTAAATATATATACAAAATATATATGTATTAGCAGGTCGCGGGCTAAACCCGTGACCCGCCTGACCCGCCCCGCCTGGACCCATGACCCGAGTAATAGACAATCTAGCAGTACGTATGCATTTCATCATAATCCGAGTCCAGTTATCGTAGAAGCTTGCTTGTTGGAGGGTATCTTGGATAAAGTCCCACGACAAGCGGTCATAAGCCTTCTCGAGATCTAGCTTGATAGCCATGAGGCCGGTAGAACCTTCTTCTCCCTCATGGTATACATAACTTCCTGATAAATGATAATGTTATCTGATATCTGTCTTCCCGGGACGAAGGAGCTTTGGAACAGTCCCACGAGTTTGGGAAGAATAAACTTTAACCTGTTCGTGATGGTCTTTGTGATGATCTTATAGCTCACATTGCAAAGGCTGATAGGTCTGAACTGCTTGATGGTCTCCGGATTTGCAACTTTGGGGATTAGGACAATAAGCGTATCATTAATACCTTCAGGAAGAGTGCCATTCTTTATGGCTTCCATGACCATATTGAAAATGTTGTCACCCGTTTCTCCCCACATATGTTGGTAGAAAGCAGCGGGGAAGCCGTCCGGTCCAGGGGCTTTGTATGGCTTCATATCCGATAGGGCACTGTGTACCTCATCCTTCGTGGCCTGTCTATTGAAAATGCGCCAGTCAATAGCTGATACTGGAGGAAAATTTGCCAGTAAGTTCGAAACAAACCTCCCGTTTGGTTCATTAGCAAACAGTTGGCGGTAGAAGGTCTGAATATGGTTCTTCAGCACGCTTCCCTCCGAGATCCAATTCCCAAGGTGATCTTTCAGCCTAGCTATCGTGTTCCTCGATTTGCGAACCGTGGCGGCCGCATGGTAGAACACAGTATTTCTGTCTCCCGATGCTATCCATTCCTCCCTCGACTTTTGGAACCATAGAAGCTCTTCTTGGTACAGAGTGTCTTCAAGCCCTTTTCTCAGTTTCCTTTCAAGCTTAGCCAGCCCCTTGTGGAAATTGATTGTCAGTCGGTTTTTGATGCCTCCCAGCCTGGCTAGATGGATCTTTTTTCAGATGAAAATATTGTCAAACTCTATTCTGTTCCAGTTAGCCAACTTCCCTGCGAGGTTGTGCATGTTTGTTGGGACATCCATGTCTGATCTCCATTCATGCTGCACCACGCTATGTATGTCCAAGTGCACGAGCCAGGCAGCCTGAAAAGAAAAACGGCCAGGTGTGAAATTGTGACTATTCCCTTCAACGCGAATGAGAATGGGGGTGTGGTCAGGCGCTATCCGAGGTAGGTGGGAGACACAGGCATATTGGAATATGGTTCGCCATTCAGTGTTGCACAAAGCATGGTTTAGGCGGGCTTCTTTTATGCAGTCTATATGTAACACCCCGTGCTACGGCCTCTAACCCGGACTAATTATTTAATGAATTACCATTAATAATAATTATAAAGGATTTGATTGGGTCATGATCCCCTTAATTGATTGAGGTGGCCCACCAAGGATCATGGACCCTTATCCTTAAACCAAACCCTTAGTTCTATAAGGAATAGAATAAGTGAATCCCGACTATTCAGACCCCAGGTTAGGACTCCTAAATATATATAAGGACT